GAAAGGGACCCGTCAACTTCTTTTATTTTACAGTTTCCATGAAAGAGGTTTTCACCTTTTTAGCCACACACGTGCTTCCCCTGTGCGTCATCCCTGTCAGTTACCTGTCATCTACCTTATGTTCCAGTTTTATAATCCATTTCACCTGAAGAACAGATTGTGCCTTAAATTCTATATTCACTGGGAGACCAACTTGTCTTATCTAACTATACAGCTACACTGTCACTCAGAAAGAAATACAGAGATGTGAAGCACCTTACGCGTTCAAGGATCTCAAAGCTCTTTACACAGAGAGATGGAAGTGCTGATGGCGAAAGGCAGTGAACCAAAAATCGTTGGCAATTGCTGATGTGGAACTTCCATTAGCTTTTATGCAGCCTTCGACATGTCCAGCCTTCGACATGTCAGTTTTATTAAAAGAATTAATGGGAGGCAGGACACGGAGATTGTTTCATCTTGGCCTCAGGGCATTGACCGTCAGAGAGATCGATGCAGTAAATAAAGTGTTTGGGGTAATAGTGACCGATTTGTGTGAATTCACCCTAACAACAGCCCAGAGCATGACACTTGATACTTATTACAAAAAAAAACAAAAAGGAAAAAAAAAAATCCACAACGGTTGCCTTTAAGACACTGAATTTTCCTTCTTTCTTTGCTCATAAAATGGCAGCACTTCATCCAGGAACTGTCACGACTGTGTCTGTCTCTAATTTCCCCAAATAAGAGAGAACACTGTTCTGTCCCTAGTCAGTCAGGAAATCCACTAATGCTTCTTTTAATTCAGAGAATACAATGGTGCTTCCCCTTAAACAGGCAGAGGACAGAAGTGCTGCCTGCAGGACAGGGCTCACAATTATGCTTCGTGCTATATACATGTGAGTTTTATTCTGCCCCGACCACTGAAAGACTGGAGTGCACCTTTGGTGTGGAAGCAGCCAGTGAGCCCTGCAGAGCTAGTCCACCCAGACTCCACGTAGCCGTCCCACTGGGGGAAGACAGACTGCCACGAGGCCAGGTAAGTCACTCCTTGGGACAGGCTTTCTTAAGCCTCCAAGGGCAAGTTTAGCCAAAACCTTCCATACATAACAGCGATTTCAGTGCTAACCATCAGCAAAATCATCTTGTCGAATGCTCCAACACCTTCAGACACACTGTTCATCATATATCGGGGTGTTTTAATGGGCATGGTGATATGATTCTTACTTGCCCACTTTTACTCCTCACTCCAATTACTCTTTGCCCCCATTGTTTTAGGGAATGCCTGTTGAATCAAGTGCGTTCAGAAATGTTAGTCCTCTATGGTTTCACACACTACACTTCTTTAAGTAAGGGAGCTAGTAGCCTCACTTCAATATACATATTCAGTATTTATTCTTCTAATCTGGTCTCCCAGATTTCTTGCTATCAGTCCAGCTTCTTGTTTCTGTCTTTTCATCTGTCACAGAAGAGGGTATGAGGGTATTCACTGCTGGCCCTTCAAAAAAAAAAAACAACCAGCAGACCCAGGTATACATCCCACAGCATTTTAGAGCTGCTAAAATAATAGCTGATGCAAGTAGAGCTCTTAAAGCTAGAAGTACCAGTTGATGCAAGTAATGTTTTGTAAGTGAAAAGCACTACACAATCTCTGTTTTAGCTGAGGATAAACAGTTCTTATCGTGGTGCAGATTGGTAACATGGTGTCATTGGCAGAGAGAGAAAAATTTGGGTCTCCAGAGCCTTATTCTAGCATGCTGTCCCCTGAATGCAAATATTTGCCCTGAATTACATGTTCATGCTTTGTATCTAAATAAACAGCAGCCTTGAAATTTACAGTAACTAGTTAGTCACCTTTTGCCAGCTCTAAGGAAATACATCTCCAGCTGTCATATGTAAAGAGAGGACTGTCTTAAAGCACCTGAGACACTTGGCTCCTTCATTTTTTCCAGGACAGTTGCTAATATGGTGGTTTAATGAGAGACGGCAGAAACGGAGGAGGATTCTTAACTTCAGCACTCAACTGTAGTAATAATAGTTACTGTGAAAATACACAGAGACATGAAGTGACCCATGCTGAAAAGATGCCCCTTTGGCAAATGTACGGGTGTAGAAGTTGGTGCACTTTTTATTAGCTGCATTAGCTGTCAGTGTGATAGCAACCAGTGAAGAGTAAGTAACAGAGCGTGGGCATGCAACTCTGGGCGCACACACACACACACAGACAGACAGACACACACACACACACACACAGAGTATAAGCATATTGAAAAACATGACCACACACATGTGTGTGTCCGTTTGTCCGTTTGGCAATATAGTTACATTCTATGATCAACAGCATTGTCTTTATATTTAAGACATTAAAAAGACATTTCTAGAAAGAAATGTGTCTTTTTCTGACATAAAAAGAAAAAATCAGCAGAAAGTAGCAATGTATCATTGATTATTTATCTCTCTCCATCTACCAGCAAGACAAATACTTCCCTGTTGCAGACTGGAGCAACAGGCAAACAATACACCTTATGCTTTGCTCTCCTGTCCGATCTGGACTTTTAACTTACTAAATTCCTGTGGCTAAAAACAATGTTGTTGAGCCTTTCAGCTTTCAACGTGTTGGGTTAAGGGCCATTGCTGAGGCCATCAGCAAGTTCTCCAGCTCAGCAGCAACAACAATGATGATAAGAGTGGTCCTTGCTTTTCCATTTCCCCCTCCTTCCAGCTGCTGTTATACCTACATTACCTATGGTGTAGCTGGCCTCCTTACACAGAATTCACATAAACACTGCGCTGTGTTTAATGCTTTCTCCGAGTGCAGCTTCAGCTAGCTGGAAATGAGGAAAAGCATAACTCAGAAGTGGTTTGCCTGTCCCTGTCTTGCCTGTTTCACCTGGGGCAGGCGTTGAGGTAACTCTTACCAACAGGACGGAAGCCAGATTTGAAGCAGAGAACAGCAGAAGTTCGCGCTATCCCCAGTGGAGCTCTCTCAGGTCTCTAGCTCAGGCTAGAACCCTTCCTTGTTTGAGGCTCTTGCATCAGTTGTCTGAGATGCACGTGCTTGAGTGGAGCAGCTGGTAGTGTGATACAAAAACGGTGCTTTCTGATCAAGAAGCTCCTGGTATGCACTTCTTATTTCTGCCCCACCTCCTTCTCAGATAAAACAGCTTTTATCAAATTGATGTAGTCTACAGCTGTCTCTGTCAAATTGGGGAATTTAATCATCATGGCATTTTTCAGTCTCAGTACTCAGCTGTTCATGTGCAGCACCTCTAATGCAGCCAGCTCCTCCCTGCTGAGCAAACTAGACTCCAGTAGCATTCTAGAGACTTCATAGAGACAACCCTAGTGCTCACAAGAAGAGCAGACCACAATCTCCTTCCACAGCCTAAGTAACCAAAAAGACTTCTAGCTAGCAAGCTTTCCTGTAACTGTAATGCCGTTAGCCACTGAGCCACCCGCAAACACAAGTAGTAATGAGTTGAATCTGACCTTATCAGATGAAGGGGGAAGCGTTTCTTTGCAGGAAGTGAAGCAAAACTAAAGCAGAAAGTGCTTTTATGGTTTTCACAGAGTATTTAGCTTTGACACAGTATTCCTTTGAGAAATGTTGTTCAAAACCTAACATGATGAAAGGTAAGATCTAGATCTAAGTTCCTGCCTCTCCAGCCACACCCTTTAATAGTCTTTCCACACAATGTCATGTAACATTAGGATTTCATGTATTTGGCATTAACCCCACGTATCACGCCCAGCTTTCACCTCACTGCCAGCAGTCCTTCTGACAGGCAGACTGCGGTACAACCTGGAGAGCAAGCCTGCTTCCACACAGCACAGCACTGGAACAAGGTATCTGGGCTTTCTCAAGATGCCTAATCTTTTTCTTTCAGTCGCTGACCCAGAGATTAAGGAAAGGGATAACTTCGTCCCAAAGTGTCCTGGATCTCATATATCATCTCACAGAGCAACCAAAGATCTGCAAAGTTGTTCCATTCCTTCTTTCTACCCTTTGACACATAACACTTAAGATAATGAAAGCAAAAGGAGTGCTAGCAGGTCAGTCTCAACTGTAACTCCCACCTCTAGGAACACAAAAGTTAAATTTGCACAGGCATGGGCCATGACTTTTCTTTCCTGCTTCTAAAGATGAGTTTTGGTGAAACCAACATCCTGGAAGGACAAAGCATGCTACTGATCAGCCATAAAACTGTATAAGTGAAGGCACTGAATACTAGTGAGCACCCCCTTAGCAACACTTCATATCACAACCTTGGAAATGTCTTATTTTTAACCTGAGAGTAAGTGTTCTTACAGGAAACAATTGAGACAGACAGCTACATGGCAGACAGAGATATGGGAAGATAAAGGTTTGCCTGAGAGAGAGTTGACGGGTATCAGAAAAAGAAATGGTCTAGTATTGAAGCGGTTGGGAGGAGTCCCTGGAGAAAGGCAGAAGCTGCCCTACAGAAAGGCTAATGGGGCCTCTGGAAAAGGCCCTGCTGACCCAGCAGAAGCTCGTGACATCCACACGGCAAACAGCCGAACTCAGACAATCTGAGAAGTGCTCTCGTCTGTGTCACGGGTTTCCCAAGTCATGTTATCTTTTTCTGCCTCCTGGTATCCTCATTTTAGAATAATAATAATGACAATGTGTCATCTTTGTAAGTCCTCGTAAGATCTATGCATGGGAATCACTTAAAAAGTGGTCAGTATTTTTAATTACTCTAATACGCTGACCTGTAACCCAGCTAGTCTCTCTCAAAAGCCAAACAATAATCTAGCTCAATTATTAATTTATGATGGCAGTACCTCATCTTTTGTCAGCAACGCTGCTCAAAATTCCTTCTTTAGCTCTGCTCTCAACATACAGCTTCATTGTTTATGGTTCCGTGTGAAGCACAACAATCAAACCGCTCTCAGTACATTAATTTTTTTGACACATTAAACAGATAGCATGACATGACATTGAATTTCCAATAAAACTGCATCCAATTTACATAGATGTAAAGAATGACCTTCTTAAGGTTTTAACCTGAAAAATTCACCATAAACAGTAACATAATCTGTGCAATTAGCCATAACCTCGTCTATGCAATTGATATACATCTGTGTTAGTTATCCCAGGAGCATCGATTCTGTTTGTAGGCATTACAAGCACTGCCAGGAAGACGTATCTTTTACTGCACATTTATTTTCCGACTTGTTTCCTTACATCTGGACTTCCTGAAACAATTACTGGAGTACAAGGGCTGGAGAAAGTTCAGAAGAGGGAGACCAGTTTTAGTTCCAAGCTGAAACCAGCTTCATGTCATTCCTTCTGACTGGTGTAATAAAGACAGAGTGACTGATTTCTTTTGTTTGGGGAATTTGATCAGCAAACTATTTATTTCAAACGTGATTTTCCTCAGAGATCATTTGCAAATTACTTCTTTCCTCTGCCCCTGCCAGAAGCAAATGCCAGCATAATGGTGAAGTCCAGGATGCAATGTTCTACACCAGAAAAATAGTGTCAGAATTTGCACTGGGGCCTTCAGGGACACACAGGATTTAAAAGGCTAACACAGTAGTTTATAGATGACTCTTGGTAGCAGAAGGAAAATTGATTTTGTTTACCTGCCACCTAGCTCCCGCAAAACACATTTTCCAGTTTGTCATCTCATATACTTGGCTAGAAGAAGTAGTAATTTATTTCAAGCGGATATTGTGTAATATTAATTCTAAAAATATGAGGCAAAACAGAATAATTTGAGTTGTAAGATATTTACTTACCTCCTACAGCTGATGCACCCATATGACAATGCTCTTGTTCAGGAATTATGGGCAGTATCTTTGTGGTCTCTGCAGTAAGTGGAATCTGTTGTTTGCTGGTTTTCACTATTGAAAATTAAAATTATTTTTATCCATATTATTGAGCAGCAAATACATCTGTAAAGCGTTAAACATTGAATCTGCACGTTTGAAAATAATTGAGACCTATTGAACACAAGGCAGAGGTGGACAGCCAGTTTTTCAGTGGGATTTCAGGGTGTACAGACACAGATACATGTTGGGAGCTCCTGAAAGCACCATCTTGTTTTATGTTTAACAAAATTTTTTTTTTTTTATACCAGTGGGACTACAGCATGCTGATCCTAAGTCTCCCTGGGAAGCAGCTTGGAGGTAGGCAACTAAACTGCTCTTGGAAAATTTACTACTAGTGAAAATACAAAAGCATGCAAATTTAGGTTTATACAAGAGTCTCCCAAAATACAAAAACCTGCAGCTGGCCAGTTAAGCAGAAACAACTGAAATTTGGAGTGTGAACTTTCTGATTCATTTTCACACAAGAGCAGCCCAGATTGCCACTCAGGGACACAGGCCGTGGCCTCAGCTAACTTGTCATACACGCAGGGGGAGCAGCTTGCTATCATCCAGTGGTTAACAAAGATGACAGCATGCACCTCAGAAGCAGGGAGAGGTGTGGTGGTACCTTTAGCACACTGGCAACACAGATCCTGATACGGTACCTTGCTGGGATACAGATAGAGAAATGCAGAAATAGCACTGTCAGGCAAATGAACTCAGAGTTGTTGATCCAATGCATTTTTTTAAAGAACTACTGTAGAGCACAAATCGCATTTTAACTCCAGATCCATCCTACCCCTGACCATTCATAACTTCTGTAAATGTACAAATAGGTTTCTACTGAGTTCATACCAGGAGGATGGACTGTGCCACTTATAATTAGCTACATCCCTTCTCCACTGACTACATCATTTGGGCTTCTCTCTTTACAAATGCAATTAAAAAGTAGAGTTTGGATCTTGGTAATTAAGCAACTGAATATGAAAAGCAAAATTGAAATAAAACTGGGGTAGATTTAAAAATACCGACAGATCTTGTTTCATCCTGAGGATGAACCTGGAGAGAACAGAAATGTAGGCTGATACTCCCTTCAGAGCCTGTGCATAACACTGTTCTGCATGAATGCAAACTGAGCAGAAAAAAAGGCCCCTTGGGCACCAGTGCTCTATGGAAAGCATACAGGGGCTATAAAAACCTCCCTAAAATTACCTGCATCCTATAGATCTTATCCTCCCATCCAAAAAGATTTAAAAAGCCCCAAAGTGGTAATAATGCTTCACATTTTTCTCTGGAAATGATGCATCTCACAAACATATAAGTCCATGTTAAATATTGAATACTACGACAAGCTTTGCTTCTCCCAGCATTATTAATCTAAGTTGCAGAGGAAAAGACGCCTATTCAGCTGTGTCAGGAACTGAGAAGGTTCAGAATCCAATAGGTGGTTCTTGGCCAAGATTAAACAAATTTCTCCTTTCTTGGCTTTGCATCTATTGTCTGCTGTAGAAGATGTGTCTCGCCTGTCCTCTTTGCTAAAAAGATAATACATTGCAGAATACAAGGAGGAGTGAGTCTGAGTTCGCTGGGATGCCAGCCCTGACACTACCGAGCCAGCGTTTACCTCTGTTTCCGACCTGTCAACTAACCTGAAGCTGTAGCAACATATCAGAGAGATGGCAGAATTTCACCTATTTCCTCTAATCTTGCAGGAGAGGAACTATTATTTTAATAGGATAGCACAGAAAACAATACAGGAATTCAAATGACTGAGAGGAAATTTGTGTTCTTGTTTCTTATGTGCAAATTACAGCTGTCAAGCCTGCTTACATCAAACGCTATGCATGTCACAAAGTCTAAACAGTCCAGAAAACAGCTGCCAGCCAGAAACCCTGAGGTTTTATTCTCTGAATCCTGGTTGTCACTGTGATCCTGCAATGTCTTTCTTTCAGGATGAGTTATAAAATTACCACCCATCAGACTTAACTTTGCATTACTGTGAAGTCAAGGAATCCTGTATTTGTACCCTGAAATGTAAGGAACCAAACTGTGACTCCATGAGCCAGTGGAGAATCACTGAAAATGAGAGAAGTGTACCATTTGAGCAATGTAGAACAAGGCATTATATTTGAACTAAGGTTGCCCACGCAGACTGTGGAGTAATAGCATGATGATATTAACGATATGATTCCTTGTCTGCATGGTCTCACTCTAGCACAGGGATGAGAGCAGGCTTTTTTTTTCCAATAGACCTTAAGCTGCTTTCAAAATAGGATAAAAATAAACAAGGAATGTCATTCTTATGCTAGGAAAAGAAGGTATAAATGGGAATTTAGAGTGGTAGACTTCTAGTAATACAAATTCCCACTGAAGTATAACCAATATAATTATATTAATGAAACTTCCATATGAAAAGACCCTGATAGGCAGATTCAGTCTAGGTATTAAACACCCTGATTTATGCACTCTGTTTCCTGTCCAACTTCTTTTTTTTTTCCATAATGTACTGTACAGTTCACACACACTGGCCTGCTCCCAACAAGTGATTCTGTGCCACGTTCCCGGGTTTATTTTTTTTAAGATACGGCTATATGAGAACAGCTATACTTAATCAGTTACTAGCACTGGAAAAGGTACTAAAGTGGTTTAGGGAAAGTGGGCTACAGAAAAGGAGTAACAGCAGAGTAAGTACAGCTGCCCTCGCTTTCTCTGGAACTGAGGCTGATCTAAACAGTAAGCTGCACATGACAGTTTAGCGTTTTCTGTCTGAGTTCTTTTGAAACACTGTGGGGAATACTGTCTAGCCCTCCTAATTGCTACTACTAATTTATTAAGTTGTTCCAAAACCTCTTCTATTGCCTTTTCAATTTGAGAAAACTCCTTAAAGAAATTCTTGCAATAAGTCTCTTATGTGGGAATCTCCCTAAGATTCTCTGTCGTGAACACAAAGCAAAGGTCCCTCAGTTCAAGAAGGACAAGGAACTGCTTGAAAGAGCCCAGCACAGAGCCACAAAGATGATTAAGGGGGTGGAACGTCTCCCTTATGATGAAAGGCTGAGGGAGCTGGGTCTCTTTGGCTGGGAGGAGACTGAGGGGTGACCTCATCAGTGTTTATAAATATGTAAAGGCCGAGTGCAGGAGGATGGAGCCGGGCTCTTCTCGGTGACGGCCAATGATAGGACGAGGGGCAATGGGTGCAAGCTGGAGCATGGGAGGTTCCACACGAACATAAGGAAAAACTTTTTCACTGTGAGGGTGACAGAGCACCGGAACAGGCTGCCCAGAGAGGTTGTGGAGTCTCTTTCTCTGGAGACATTCAGAACCCGCCTGGACGTGTTCCTGTGTGACCTACTCTAGGTGGTCCTGCTCTGGCAGGGGGGTTGGACTAGATGATCTTTCGAGGTGCCTTCCAACCCCTAACATTCTGTGATTCTGTGAATTTTCTTCTATGGATTATGTTTCATGTGCTACTACTATCAAGTCCTATTTGATTTGAAAACACTCTGTGTCTGGAAATACAGATCAGCCACTTAAAGAATACTTACTTCTTGCACCAAAGAAAAAGCACCCTGTATGCTCTCCCTTCTCTTGTGGCTGCATTTAAGGGCAACTACTCTGCTTTGTCAATTCCTACCATTCAAGGGACTGTTTCACACAGACACAATGGCAGGACCCGATCAAAGTCTAGAAAAGGTGCTCTGTACAGCCCATGCTCTAGAGCACACCTTTTTGGCTTAACAGTACAGGCAATGTTTAGCCAACATTTATGACCAGAATGCTTTAAAGCTTCCCTATCTTCACTACATGTGCTTAATCCTTTGTAGTACCATGAATTTGGAAGGCTGTAATTTTAATCCTACTCTAGAGAACATACTGTAATTTTTTCCTCCTTTCCTCTAGCCACCGGAATTTATGGTAATGATTCATGGACATAGAGCCACTGACAGTTTCACAAAACTAGCATCCATGCTGTAAATTATCTTTTTGTAGGACCACAGTGATAGCAAAATAGTGATTTCCTGAGCCTACCTAGGAAATCATTCTCATTCTCCAAGCATAGGTTTCTTTCTTTTTCTTCCCTTATTCTTTCTGAACTTCGAATAACCTTTTAGTAGTACCTATACATCTTTTCATCTATATGAGATACTGTCACATCCTCTCAGATATATAGTTATTCAGTCCCATTATGGTTATTCCAGAGTGGTTATATTGTCTTCAGTGGATCTCAATGTTTTGCTTCAAGATTCCAAGCTATCCACTAATGATAGTGAAAACATTATCAAGGGCTGCTGAAGTCATCTATAGCTATTTATAATCCATTATCACAGTAGCAAATCTTAAACTTAGCAACTGTGAAAAGAATAAACTCTGTTCATATGGTCTTGATTCCATTTTAAATTATATTGGTATAAATCAGGAAATTGATTGGATTTACTGGAATTACGGTGTGTGAAGTGGAGGAATTTCATATTAAAATAAAACCCATTATAGCAGTTCATACAACTAAACATCTTTCCGGGTTAAATGGATAGATTTAAGTGGGAGGAACATAGAAGTAAGAATGACAGACCAATAAGGGATGCATATTCTCTTCAGTAAAATTTAGTAAAACTAGACTTGAATTTCCATAAAACTCCATCATTAAAAATGCCTTTGGATTTACAACACTAAAAATGCTGTTGTGAACATGCTGATAAAACAGTCACGGTATTAGTGAAGCTGTTAAAGACAAAAGATGTCAGAAATATAATTCCTTTCCTGTGGGATGAAAATAATGAGCTCATAAATATATCTTAGAGGTAGCCAGTGCTTTAAAAGCAAGGAGTGTAAATTGTACTTGCGTGAAAGTACAGTCAGACAAGGAGCTATTCACTCTTTTCTAGGTAAAACTGAAATGCCATGAGTTACTGTGCTGTAGAGAGAAATTACTGAGTCTCCTCCTACTCCTGAAGAACTAACAAGACAAACCGCAATGTACCGAAGCCTAGACAAATTTAAAACCATTTTTTCATTTGCTGGCTATGTAGTTGTTCTTGTTTTGCAGGAAGGATGGTTTGCCATTCAGTTATTACTCTGTATGTTAATCTTTTTAAAGATAGAGCTCCCTTTGTGAAACCAGAATCCATGGCATTTATTAAAGCATATGACTCTCTGAGCAGTATCAGTAACACTCAGAGCTACAGCTGCTGATTTCCCCTCACACAGAGATTTGTTACCAAATCATAATTTCTGGAACTAAAGCTTTGAGTTTAGCCATGCCATTCAATTTTTCTGTGCTGAACACACCACACTCTCAGATGAAATTCTTATCTGAAACTAGAAAATTGTACTTTGTGGGAATTTTTCCCTAGAAATAGGCTATGAAGTGCCAGCAGAGCCATTCTCTGAGTCCTGCTACAGCCATCCATTCCATCCTTTGGTAGCAGATTTTTTCAAGAGTCATAAATGCATAAAGCATACATCACACGTGTACATGTCTGTATACTTTTCATACACACACAAAGCACTCAGCTGCCAAACCGCAAAAGTGGCACACAACATTATCAGAAATTAAAAGGAGGTAAAAAGACCAAAGTCATTAATGTAACACATTTGGAAGCTTGGGAGAGCATTCCCACATGATATACGTAAGTCTTCTTAGAGTTTTATTGTCAGGTGTATTTCTTTGTGATAGAAAAATATTTCCATAACATAAGCCAGATCAAATTTGTGTAGGATCAAGCTAACTCTGAAAAAACCCTGAAGCATCTGTTGACAGGAAATACTTAAAAGGTCTTTCTTGACCTCCTCATGCCTCAAGAGTTGTTAGGTTTTTATTTTACTTCTATATTACTTACCAGGAAAAGGATGAATTTTAGTAGCAGATATGGTTCTTCTTGCATGTCTGGAATGCTTTCTTCTTAGAATAGAAGAAACTGATGCTGGTACTCTGTGTTTACAATCTGTTTAAAATGAAATGTGTTATCCTCAGCTATAGAATTACATACAGCACTGATTAGAAGTAAAGCTAGTAAACCCCTCATTCTTAAACTGTTGAACATCTTCCATAAAAAAAAAAAAAAAAAACAACCAACAAAAACCAGGAAGGTTTTGAAATAACATGATGAGGAAAAACAAGGGCCAGATATTTTATATTTTCCTGATTTAAATTTTCTGGAAATTCCGTTCAGCTTTGCCCCTTTCAAATTACTCCTTCCCTTTTCTATACTATGTACCTTGATCAAATTTTAGAAGGCTATCAAAAAAGCACACGTTCCAGTACAGGTTCAGACTCACCTTGCTGACAGTGGAATAGCACGGATGGAGTTTACTGGCATCCTAGGAAGCTAACAGATTCTTTGCAAGTGTGGGCTGGGGTGTTGTTCACCTTTGGTAGCACAGTTTGAGAGCAAGCTCTACACCACTCAGAGAAAGAGAGTGTTGTGGTTTAACCACAGCCAGCAACTAAACACCATGCAGCATAAAATTTGATAATGATAATAATGAAAAGGAATATAATGAAAGGAGCAGCTGAAGGAACTGGGGTTGTTCAGGCTGGAGAAAAGGAGGCTGAGGGGAGACCTTATTCCTCTTTACAACTACCTGAAAGGAGGTTGTAGTGAGGTGGGTGTTGGTCTCTTCTCCCACGTAACAAGTGATAGGAGAAGAGGAAATGGCCTTGAGTTGCACCAGGGGAGGTTTAGTTTGGACATTAGGAAAAATTTCTTCATCGAGAGGGTTATCAAGCATTGGAACAGGCTGAGTCACCACCCCTGGAGGCATTTAAAAGAGTGTAGATGTGGTGCTTAGGGACATGGTCTAGTGGTGGACTGGGCAGTGCTAGGATAATGGCTGGAATAGATGTTCTTAAAGGTCATTTCCAGCCTAAACAATTCTATGATTCTGTGAAAAGAGACAGAGAAATAAAACCCAAGAAAAGGACAAGTGATGCACAATGCAATCCCTCACCACTACTGACTGATGCTCAAGCAGCAATCCACGCCTCCCAGCCCATTCCCCTCCCCCGCCCAGGTTGATATACTGAACATGACACTCTATGGTGTGGAATATCCCTTTGGTTAGTTCGGGTCAGCTGTCCTGGCCATGCTCCCTCCCAGCCTCTCGTGCTCCTACACACTAGCAAAACATGGGAAGTTGAAAAGTCCTTGATTTCGTAGCAACAACTAAAAACATCAGTATATTATCACCATTATTCTCACACTGAATCCAAACCATGGCACTATTCTATCTACTAAGAAGGAAAATTAGCTCTATCCCAGCTGAAACCAGGACAACGATAGAGGTGGGTTGAACATCTCTGACTGTTCCTCAGCACCCAGTACATAAATTCCTCAGTCTTTCCATCCTTCTGCTGCTCTCTTAATACAGTGCTCTTGGTGGGGTTATTGCAGATGATTGTGCAGCTGCTATGGTTCTATGTAGCGCTCTATGGCAGACCTGTTCTACAACGACAACAATTCAGGGCTCAGCCAGCTTCTGATGACAGGCTCGCTCCAATTCTACGTCACAATTATTTTTACCTTTTTGAGAAAACTGGAAAACTTCAGCTTTAAGAAATTCATTAAATTGGCATTATTTAGGTCATGATTTTTTTATGAATAGCCAGTGGAGATCTAATGCACCAAAGCCCTAAGCGTGTACTGTAAGAGTTAATGTGAAAGGAAGCCCTGCAAGCAGTCGTAAGAGAAGAATGGAAGGAAAAAGGGAAAAGGACTGATTTCTAATTTAGCTCCTTTGTCATGGATTGGTTGTAACATCCACCAAGTTTATTTGGATATTTTATTTTATGCAGTCATGGAAATAACTTAATCAATGTTTCAGAGAGTCTCAGAGTCTGCCTAGCAATTCTGCAAGGTCTTGCAAGGTCTCAAGAGGAAATGAATAATTCCATATTTCTTAACAGCTTTCAGTGGTGCTCAGAAATTAAGAGAGAAACTACTGACTGAATTATGACTGGCAAAATTTTTAGCAGCTGTTTTAGGCCCATAGTAATATTCTGCTGTGTTCTTTGGGTGCCACCGAAAAAAGCAGTATGTAGACTTGCAATTAACGGTAGCCTTGTAATATATACACATAAGGAATACAACCTTAAATCTGATTTTTATGTGCTTGTCTTTTTATCAGTAATATATCAACATTATTTTTAATGTTACATATTATAATTTTAACTAATAAAATGACTAATCCTTTATTAACAGAAAATGTATTCTAGAAGTAAATCAGTAATTATAAACCTCAAAAGGGCATCTTTTCCTCCTTGCTTGTGTCTATGACAATTCTGAAAAACTTTCATTTAATAGAAAACTGATGTTTAAGAATAAAGGCAGTAAATCATTAATCATCACTACTAATAGTTATGCATTAAAAATGGGATGTTATGATTCTAAGCATAGAAAATCATACCCATGACATTTATAGGTAGCTTTCAAATTACAAATGAAAGTCCTTTAAATTAGAGCCTTTAATAGCCCACTTATAAAGACTTAATTTACACTTTGTGGGATTTTTATATCCATAAAATAGGTCTCAGAATCTGGTTCTAGCAATAAGTAAAAGATCACATATTTAACCAGGATTGTCTTTAATCATTTGAGGGGGGACACAGATTTGCCATTTTAAGCAACTATTTCACTTATTCATTAAAAATATATGCATAAAATATTTACATTATGCAAAAAAAAAAAAAAAATCGCAGAAACACTTTGTGCGTGGGCACTCCTCTTCCTTCTGTTCAGTTATGATTAAAGCTAGACTTGTATTGCTCTTTCATTACCAAACTGCCTATGGATACAGTAAGGATGACTGGGGAATGGACATGGCTTATCATTTTTTTATTACCGCTGTGATCAAGGTCTCCATTCGGCAGCTCTGGACCACAAGGGAAATGGACATCTGCCTGGGAATAGCCACTAAACCCTGGTTATCCAGAGGCATTCTGTCTACTCAGGGCTGACACCGGAAGAAAGTCTCAGAAAATTGCTGTGAAAGCATCTAAGAGCTATCATCTAAGGTAACAGGTTAAGTAACACTCTTTTCACACTGATGAGTGAGAGTGTGCTCACTGTACCCCTTTGATTTGGGAGAAAAAACAAGGACCAGCAGCTGACAAGCAATCAATTTTCTGCATTGTTTTTGTGCAGAGGACTTTGTCTTGATTGCTCAAAAGTTGCAGGCTCAGGGTACTCCTACATTTTTATTCTCGCTTTCTTCACTGCGTATTGCTAGAAGAAATACTGTAAATCCAGTTTCAGCCTGTATCCCAAGTGAACTGCATAGGAAGATCCTGTCTTGGCTGCCGAAGGCATTCTGTAGAAACAATTGTTTCAGCCTCTGAACTAAGGACAAGTTCTTTCATAGCAAAGTTTTAATCACTTAGAGTAGTCAATAGTGTCGATACAGAAATCACACCAATATTTTCTTTGCTGAAGTAACAGCAAGGAGAAGAAATGTTATCTGGGCTTAACTCAGCACAGTTTGGCGACCTCTATGAGATTACACCACTGCTGAATTTAGATAACCAGTTTTCAGGACAGACAGCTGAGTGCATATCTCCTCATATCTATCCTGTAATTTTTCTTGACCATGACCTAGATGAATCATCTTCAGGAAGAAAAGGGTATTTCAAGCTGCTTATACTGGTCATGGAAATCTCTGCTTAAGACCTTCAACAAGGTTCAACTGTAATTGTTTTATCTACTGGAATCAGTCTGAAATCAGAAGTTCACATCACTAAGCCCACAAAGCATCTGTCAAAACCCCTGTATTTCATTCACCATCAACAAGCTTGGATTTGCATCCACAATTCAGAGGTGAGAGGTGATAGTATGAATCGTCAGAGGATTTCAGTCCCTCTATAGCAAGCTTTTACCATATTGCCATTAAAATACTGGTGTCTGAACCACATTAATAATCAATTAATAAGCTTTGTTACAGTAAATTAATAGATTTTTCATTGCACAGCAATTTAAATTAATGCAGATTAACTTTTTATTACTTACAGTTTTGTTCATTTTCTTGGACTATTTTGTAGATGACTATTGAAATAGTAAACACAAAAACTACTGGAATCATAGTGAGCCAAATGATCTTCGTCATACACATTGGATCTGTCCATAAAATGTAGAAGAGATAAAATTAAGCAGGAAATGACTGGCAGAGAAAAGCAGAACATTTGATCTTGGTAGGTTTTTGGACCATGCCTATCCCAGATAGGGATCATCTATCACAGATAAAAATTTAAAACAAAAGAGAAGATTATACCTTTTTCTTTCAGCCTTCTTTGTTGTCTGAAATTGTTTCCTATCTAGAATTTAGCTTCATTTTCACCTGTATCTATTTCCCTATGTCTGAAATAGCTATATGTAGCTAAGGGAATGAAAAATGGAGCACAGAAGGAACTGGTCCACTGTCCAGCACTGGCATTCTTAACCTCCTGGCCCACCTTCGTAGAGAAGGTAAGATTCTACATATAGAAATTTTCTCACCAAAAAGTGAGGAAATGCCACCAACAGGAGTCCTCTGGGTAGTACTTTTAACTAAAGCTGCCTTGGGGCAGAATCAGCATGGGACTGGCTGTAGGAGGTAGGCTGCTCTTTCGGACAACAGCTGCTGCAGAAAGGCACCCACATTTCGCAGGGAATTAGTTCACTAATTAGTACAAGCCAAGACTATATACCATAGAGAAAAGATGTAGGGAACTTCCCTCCCTAGTTTTTCAAAAGACCTTTCAAACTTCTTTGGCAGCTGCATGTTAATGCATACCTTAGCACTGTCAAATAACTATTTAAAAAAACAACTATGTTACTATGACTCATAAAAAAACCAGTTACTCACTATAGCCAAACCGCTTTTCCTTTGCTTGACTTAGGGTAGTATAATTAGACCTACATCAACTTCCCTTGTGTATCTTCTCCATTGAGAAGTCCTGAGGTAACTGCCAATAACCCCATGGCTCTTTAAGGTAAGCGCAGCTCATCCCTCCTAATTCAGAACTAAAAATATCTTTTATACAGTCCTTTAGGCTCCTTTCAAACAGAGTACTCTACCCCATCTTGTAGTGACTCGTAATGACTTGTATATCAACCTTGCTTAGTAAAAGCCCTTGAGCACCTCTTTAGCTTCGTTTTGAAGTAAATAGAAAAAAAGATGTGTTGTTAATTTTTATGGTTAATTTGAGATGACTACTTCTCAGGTAAATCACCACTACCAAAGGGTGGTTAGCTTATATTTTTCACACAAGTTAGCAGGGCAAGTTACAGACTATAGTCTTCCCATAGCTAGATCTACTTAAAAAAAATAACCAAAAAGTAAGCTGCCCTCTCTTCTCTAGGATTTTATTTGGACTTATTGAACATAGATTTAGCCAACTCCAAAACGTGTATTTTTTTCCAGCAAAGGTACAGCATAAAATGCATTTGCCATACAAACCTAAATGAATATAATAATTCAGCAATTCCCAGATGGCCAGCGTTGCATATAGACAGGCTGGAAGCCCTGACCATGGTCAGGCAATCAGCCAAAAAACTCCTGCAGCACAAAGAGAAATTTAAAAAGCTGACAGGCTGTCCCCTGGGAAAACTAAGCCTAGTTCAGCTGAAGGTTTCTCTTTTAAGTGCACTGTAGTAAGGCTGTAATAGCAGGATATTGCAGTATGACTTTAAGAAAAGTCAAACCTGTCTCCTGGTTCTTCTGCCACTGAAGTTAACAGGAATTTTTAAATTTACCCCCAAGACAACAGGGTTATGCCCTTACCAGGGAGGGGAGAGGAAAAAAGTAATTCCAGGTTTTTTCATACATGAAATTTGTGATTCTGTCACTGCTAAGCAAAAAAACCCGTAGAGACATTTGCTTTGCTGTGCTGCTGCTTCTAGGAAAAAAAAAGCCACAGCTACACTTGCTTTAAATCACTATAAAAACTGTCAGTTGCCTACTAAAGATGGTCATTTACTAAGAGGTGATCAAAACTGTATTCTCTTCTTGTGAAATACTTAAATACTCTCAAATGGTTGCAGAAAGCAGAGAACTACTACTGGAGATTTTTTGCAAGATTGATATTCTTTCTGGTTTGATTTCCATTCAGACTCTCCTTTGTAACTTACATTCCACATAAGATTTCAGTTGCAGTGCAATATTTATACAGTCATTTGGGTCTTCCATCATTGCCACTAGACAGGAACCATTTAGGTATTCTTCGGCTGCATTTCCTCCTCCAACTATAGAATTGTTGATGTGGATTTCCAGCAGGTAGAAAGTATTATGCTCTACTCCTTCTTTCTCAGAAACCGTAGTGAAATTAAAATATTTATAAAAATAAATAACATCTTCTGTTTTCACCTGAAGTGAGCCTTCTGGTTTTGGAAACAAAAATTGAAACAACACTGTTATATAACGTGGTAGACAAAGAGACAACTCCCAGAACAAACAGTAAAATAAGTTCTCTGTCTCATTTGCAGATACATACAGTAGGCTTTTACATTATTGACTATGACGAAATGGACAAAAGGATACCATGTAGAATTATGCTGAATGGATCCGAAGAGTATTACTTATCTATACAAAATATTTCCCCTGCAAATTATAGCCCTTTTTTTGCTTTACTACCAGCTTCAGAGCTTTTCAGTTTTTTGTGTTTTTGTCATCTGTTTTCAAAGGTAACAGACAAAAATCAGGCTATGAATAAAACAAAAAATAAGTAAAAGCCATATGATGACAGAGATTTGAAGTGTACATCTAGTCTATCTGTTATTAGTTGCAGAAAGTCCTTGTTCACTCCAAACCACACCAGCTGTGAGACTTGCATAGTATTAACAAGAAACACAAGTAGGTGGGAGATTGTCAAGTGTTAGAGTTGTGTAGGTATAACTGAGAACAGAGTTTGTCCACACATTTTTTGTTTTGTTATTTTCCATACTTAAGACTGCCATTTCTAACAAGAAAATTATGCTGCTGGAAAAGAACTGCATTCCTTATATTCAGGACTTGGCCTGTTGCCCTTGTTGCTGACAATGTTAGGAAAGCAAAAGTCAGAGGCATCCTCTTCCCCAAAAGTTTCCAGATACTTTGAGAGTGTACATGGCACAGAAGGAATTCACTGCTACTGCTCTGAAAGGACGTGGATGTTGCTGAGCTCTTCTCTGTATTGCTGTGCCAGTGCTTACCCAGTGTGGCCTTCTATGAAACATGCAAGGCCATTTCTGATACCACACAGTTGCAGGTATCGTTGACTACAGGCACAAAAATAATAATTGTGTCTTGTATAGCTGCCATCTGAATAGTTACCATCTTTGAACTAGTTCTTCAGATACTTGCTCACAACCTATCTTCATGTAACATCAGCAATCTACATGTACAGTTCCACAATGACATTTAAAAGCAAATTCAGCATGAAAACTGATCAGAAACTGCAACTCCTTAAGATTAAATGAAATATTTTAGAAAATATAGCAAGATTAAAAGAATAAAGATGGGGATATAAGAGCATTCATAATAGCCAGATGGCAGAGGTCAAATTTGCAATAGAAATATTGCAGGTGGCTGCTGGATAAGGCCCTCTTCTCACAGCACCCTCCTTCCAGTGCAATACAAAGCCAACTGAAGATAATGACACACTCCCCACATGATTTTATACAAGATCCTCAAAGAAAAGAAACCAGCATTTGGCTACCAACATGTTTCACTGACAGCCAGGAATGAATGCCACTGAGAATCTGGCATAAAACCTGCATTTTCTAGCCATGCAAAGACAAGCTAAGAAAAACATTGTTCATAGATTTGCAAAGACCATAGAGAACCAGCAGCATATTATGATTTTCTCTTAACTACCAAATAAAAATCTATTTTATGTTGTAATTAACTACTTCAAAGTTCAGTATTTCTTTTCTCCTACTTACCCTTTTTAGCTACTGACCCTGATCCTTGATGATCAACAGTCACATCTCTCTTGGATTCACACTCTGTGTGTTTAGTATGGGACTGTTGTTCCCTCCTGGAGGACTGGCAAATACATGGAATATTTTGGAAACTGGAATGATTTACAATGGCCTTCAGTAAAATAGTCTGGTTTTCTCTTCTTTGTTGCGCTGATCTTTGGCAAGAATTGTTAAAAGTACAAAGTGGAAAAGTGGTGTTATTTGATGAACAGGTATCCATGCATGACACCATTACAGTGTTATCTGTAAAAAACAAAACAAAACAAAAAACCAGTCATGTAGAACTCACGGACGAATATGTGCATGGAAGCATCATGTAACAGATCCTTTAACCATCTCATGATGAAACACACCTTCTTTCTTGAGGGTTATGGCAGCACATTGAATGCATCAACAAGTGAGAGAAAGCAAGCACAGAGCCTTCCCACAACCTAGATGATGGATTTTATTGCTGAATTGCATGAAATCTCTTGTAATACTAACTTGAATTTGTGGTGGTATCTATTCACATTCCTGTTTCAAAGCTGCTCCTATTTGATTGTACTTGAAAAGAAGATGAAAGCACTCATGTTTCGAGGGGGAACTGTGCAATTATGTTGTAAAATAGCTATAATCAGAACAAAAGCTTTCTTTCCAATAACATTGAAAGCACATAGCATAAACACACAGAAATGCTACTCAATCCTATGACCACACCCTTCACGTTCTCTTAAATTCAGTCAACAAACACAAATCTTAATTACGACCATTGGTTTGGTATTCATAGTCAAATTTCAGTACCAAATTACTGTAGCTAGAGTACATTAATGCAGTTCTGGCAAGTAGCAAAAACCGCACAGAATTAATTATTAATTAACATTATTTTAGCTGTCTTCCATATTAAAGTAAGGCTTTATTGTGCAAATCATGCATTTTTACTTGAGTTAACTTTGAACTATTTTTTAATATGAAAAAAATTAAGAATAAAAAAATCTGGGACCCCAACATGAAATATGTATTTATGAATACAAATAACCACTTCAAGGACATGATGCAGCACTAACCTATAGTTTTGTAGCTGAGCTTCCAATTCTGGTAGTACCCTTGAATCTCTATGAAGAGGAAATTTTGCATCTAATTCCCATGATGAGTAATTGGAGTAATATGTTCATAAATCCTTATGTACGGAGAGAAAAACATAGCCTTTAATTGCTCCAGTGCTCAGCTGCCATCTGACAGCTTCAAGAGGCCACCTGTGCCCACATAGCAGCAGGCTGACCTCAGAAACAGTTCAGTGAAGGATTTCAGAGGATACAGAAATAAAATCCAAAATCCAACGCCATAGTCAATTATCTTCACTTTACTAACACTACACCAGAGAGTCACAAACTCCATATAAAACTTAATAAATTGAAATGTAAAATACAAATCCTATACAGGTAAGGAAACATTTTAATACCAAAAAGGAAAATGTCAGACAAAATTTAGGGCTCGATCTTTCCCTGAGGCAAGACAAAACATTTTCCTTGAAATGGTTACGATCTGACCCACACAACCCGGAGAGGAGCAGGGTCTTGAGGTCAAATTCTTCGGCTGAAGGAGGTGTTTTGTGCACAGCTTCTCTGTGGAGATGAGCCAGAAGCAGGCATTGAATGCTTACTCTGCTCTTGTGGCAACATGTGTGTGCATCTGGACAACCAGCCTAAAACGACTGCTACAGCTTTCAAGGTCAGCTAATGGTAATTCCCCACCTTACCCTTTTCACGAAGACATTTGTAAACGGACTTGCGAATCCACTGACTGTGCTGTGACACCAGCCTACGTTCTGCACTGTGAAGTCTGTTTTGGACTTCACACACAGCTAAACAGGCTCCAAAGCTGCCTGTGAGACATCTTGTAGGCACATTATCCGAGTGAAAAAAGTTTGAATGCTGTCCTGTTAGGGAGGGTGTTTACCGTCCTCTTGAAAGATCTCTACTGAGGAACCAAATCAGATTACTATCTAGAATCAGTAAACTTCATTTTCTTCCAGCTCACAGGGCTGTGGACTTTCTAGGGAGGGACATCTATTGCTGAACACTGTAAGCAGGGCTGCAAAGACTAGACTTTCCCAGTGGATGACAAGGCAGACAGAGAGCCATATCCACAAGAGGCTTGCTCCTTCCTGCAGGCTGGGAAGCACCCTCCCAAATGTAAACAGCACTAGAAATGTGGAAAGGGTTTCACGAAATCTGAACGCAGACAGCCTGAAGACTTAAGAGGATCACTGAGATGAAACCATGCAAAGTATCTCCAGGAAACTGCTTTATATTCAAAGATCTGTAACCCACAAGCTTAATGTTAGGAAGTTCTGTGATTATGAAATTCTTTTATTAAGCCTCGATTTACAGGATGGTTTTCCGTAGAAAATCCAATTCCATTAAAACAAGATTTTTCACAGGGAATATCTGAATTTATAAAAAACTTGCTTCCCACTAAGAAAATCATAAATATTTAATTTTGAATTGGCTTGGCTTTTTTTTTTTTCATTTGAGCTGTGTATTCTGTTTTGAATCAATTCAGCAGTATATAAAATTGCATTTTTTATTACTTCCTTGCAGAAATTATAGTTGTCACATCATATTGTAGAGATACATGGCCTAGAGGACAAGTTGGGGAGTACACAACTGACAGATTAAAGGAGATATACACTCCATCAAGTAGGTGGACCCAGAAGACAGGACTGGACTTGAGAGCACCAGACTCCAAAACGACAGCCTCCTACTCTAAAGCAATGTAGGTTAAAGGTTCAATGACTACTAACCAAACAACTGGGTTGCTTTACAAATTTAAAGGAAACATTTCACTTTTGGCAGTGCTGAACTGTATTCTTTTGATAAATTTTTAAAGGCTTAGTTTTTTTGCAAAATGATTTCCCCCTAAATTTCTGCTTAATGAGAAATTTCCATTTTTATTCCCTCTATGGAATGAAAATTAATGCTAGAACTTCCCCTGGGATAAAACATCCAAGTTTCACTTACTTCCATCTGCATACTTTTCTTGCCTGCCATTTCAGAGATTATATTAAAAACCTGAAGTACTCAAAATGTTAATGTGATCTCAGAAAAGCCTGCAGAATTAAGAGGTCTCTGCCACTCGTTTAGGAACCTCTCACAGAGGAAGATACAGTGACTGTGTTTCACATCTCACAGATTCCCAACAACTCTGTGTGGTGAAGCCTCATGGGGTAACCAGCAATTTGAAACATCTACAGCAAATCCTGTGCATTTTAGGTTTGCCACAAAATCCAAAACAAAACCAGTTTTCAACTGAAGTTTTTCAATAAATCAGAGACTCAAATTCCTTGGAATTTTCAAAATAAATAGTTCAACATATTTACTGTTTCGTGTAATTTGGACATTGCTATACAGTCGGTTATATAGTCATATAGTTTTTAGAACATGTAAAATATAACAATGGTTCTAATTTTCCAAATATAATTCTGTGCTGTATTCTGCTTATATACTTCACAATCTTATTTTAGACACACTGTGATTAAGAACGTATGCAGATATCAGAATTGCAGTGATCATGCTGTTGCACTGTAACACACCTCCAGAAAGAGCAATCTAGTAAAGTTACCATGGAAAAATGCAATTACTCTTTGATGTTTGACAGTAAGGTCAATTTTTTCTTCTGGTGATAATCATGTCATTGTTTATTTGCACAGTCTGTGCTAGCAAATACTTTAATTACTTCTGCATGAAGGTAAAATATTAATTATTCCAACATCTTAAACTCACTCATCGATTATATGATATTCAAAACTTATGACAGCTTACCAAGTTCGTTCATTTAAAAAACACAGAAATCTCTAAATTATATTCTAGTTACATTCACATTAATTCTTTGTGGTTGATGAAAAGAGAAATGTAAATATAAGTAACCTAATCTGGATGTATTTTTATATTAATGTTTTTCAGAAGATCATGCTTCGTGAATAACTGTTTTCATGGTGCCTGGGAACACGTGCTATTTGTCAAAGGGATGCTTTTTATTATAACATTTATCTATTCAAAAGCTTACTTATGAATGGATGTGACAAAACTATTTTAATATTAATTTATTTATGGGTTTTTAAGAAAGCACTGAATGTGTTAACTTAAACAAGTGTGTTTTGCATCCACCCTCAATCCAGTATCGACCTTCAGCATCACCAAAATGTATTTGGCATTTACGTTAAATGATTTGCTTCACTCAGTTACACCTAATCCACTCTACTTTTTGTCAGGTTACCACTGCCTCTCTGTTTCGCAGACAGCATCTCATACCAGGTAGTAATTGTACAAAGTTTTATAGGCATTTAAGTATAGAAACTTAAAAAAAAAAAAGTTGTTTTTAAAGACACGAGTACCTGCTATAAAAGAATACACGCACTTTTAACTGCTGTCTTCATGATGAGGATAGTAAAAGTACAGTTGCATGGAAATACTTACCAAAAACCTTGCAGTGTACACAAACAAATGACTAACTCTTTTCAAATGATCACATGTAATTAATTCTGTTGGTAACAAATCTAACAAAAAAAATCTGTAGGCTTTGCAAAGTCCACAGGAGCACAGCATCCTAACTATCAGGTTTAGGAAAGCACATGTCAACCCTTCAACTGCAATCAGACTTTAGAATAAATAAAAGGCTATTTTAAAAGCTGGTCACCTACCTTCATGGATTTTGAAAAATTCAGGTAAACATAAAATAAACATGGTAATTATTCCGAGTACTAATCTGAAGATTTTTGATTTTCTCAAAAGCCAGCACATGTCACTGAAGCACTCCCATCTAGCATAGTGCTGGTAACTTCCTTCCTGGTTTAGCTTTTAACTCAGCGCAGACTTTATGCAAAATAACATCTATTCATTTCCTTTTTCTAATACGATTTTTCTTTTTACTTCTCGTTATGTTAAATTGTAGAGAGCCAAGTTCTGTTCTTACATTGGCGTAGATGAGGATGATTCCAATTAAATAAGATGAAGATAAAACTCATGTCCCGTGATGAAAAAAAGAGAAAAATCATGCATAGAAACTATGTTATTCATTCGTGGTAGTTTTGTTTTAAGAACTTCATCCACTAATGGCCGCTTTCATGTACCTTCTAAACAGTAAAAGAATCATCATTGTGAAGGAAATTTGTTCTCATTTGGCCGAGAAGATCTTTTAAAAATTAGTCAGACCTTCATTATAAAAATGAGCCAGAACCACACGAGTCAGATACGGAGATTTTATTGTTTTATTTATACACATATGCACTGGGGGTAGGGGGAAGATAATTTTGTGTAATACAGAATCTTTAAGACTTTAATAGACTATTAATTTGATCATTACATTTGATCATTTGCTCTGGCAAATAAGTGAGGTACTAAGTACAATGAACTGAGTGTGAGCTGCTCCTATTATCACTCCTGCTCTGGTCTTAAAAGGCAACAGACGTGTTGCCAATCTGTAAAGCGTCTTCGGTGTGTATGTTACTATCTTTACACCACAAGAAGACTGGGCAGGTCCATTATTATTTCTATACATCATAGTCACAATTTTTCAGCTAAAAAAAAGCTTCTCAGTTAAAAAAGTGTAGTCTCTCATTCTGACAACCATGATATTTCATAACTACTTCTTACAGATGAAACTGCAAAGAACATTTCTAAAATGTTCCGAATAAAAGCATTCTGAATAATGCACATGTAAAAACAAACAATTTGACTCAAATATAGAGTATATACAGTATGAAGCGTTTAATTAATTCAGAAAGCTCTCTTCTGATGTAGTGTTTTTCCCACAACCCATTAAATATTGAGTACTACCAAAATGAAGCAATGCTATTGAAATTAAAATGAGAAATGTCCTACAAACTTGAAATGCCCTTCTTGTCATCTAGTTACCTCAGAAAGTCAGTAAGCCAGGTGGAAGCAAATACACTATTCATTCTCTAGAAAGACTCTCAATGGAGCTGTAGTGAACATAAATTTGCTAATATGATATTTTAAATGTAGCACTTTTATGCAATGAAAGCAATGAAACCAAAGCAAAATGAACTGGTTTTTTTTGACAGTGTGATACAACAGAAGTAACAGGATACAAAAAATCATAGGTATGAATTTAAAAAATAAAATACTGCACAATTTGTATTTGTCATCTGTTAGCAAATTAGCTCCAATTTGTGAAAGACTGCATTGCCCCTTTGATATATTCTGTATCAGTTATTATATTTTCCCATTTTCAAGGCTGCATGGTGTTCACTCATCCTTTCTGCCCAGAAGGAGTAGAGAAAATACTGGAAAATAACAGGAAGACTTTGGCAGGTGATATGTGTATCTATCCCTTTCTGACCCATTCAGACTTTCATCGCTGTTGGTAGTGCCCAAGATCAGAACAGAAATTGCCCTATAGGATCACACTCGAGTTCAGCCTGGTGTAATAACAGCCGGTGCAATACGTTGAGTTTCAGAATCTACAGAAGAAGGTTTCCAAGAATTCTGCAGTAAGCAGACGGGGACTATCTATTTTAGGGCTATTGTGATGACTCATTTTCCTTTAGTTTCTGAGTTCAGGAGGCCCACATATGATCTGTGCGCACATCCCAGGAACACCCTAAGCTTTAGACGCTACTACCCTCGGCAGCTCTGTGTGTGTAAACTAGCAGAATCACACGCGTGTGTGGCCTGACCTGCCAACTGACCTGGAAAACGTGGGTTTTCCTTGCTGGGGACACGCTTCCCTCCACCTAGCTAATAATTTTTACACAGCTGGAACAATTAGTATCTCTGAAAACTCTATTCTTTGGTCAAATGTAGTTAAAATTGACTAAAATGTTTGAAGTCAGCTGGGATGAGAACTGGCAGACAGACAAAGTGCGCAGATACATAGGCCACATTCTGTTACAGTTAGGCAAAGAAAGCAGTATATACTTCATTACTGCATCACACTTGTACTGCCATGCCTCAGCAATGACGTTTCGCACCCTTAAATCAATTTTATCAGTCGGACGCACAGCTGACTGTCACACAGCCTATTAATTTGGAAAATTATTCTACCTTTGGATGGCAGAGGTCACCGGTAAGGCGCTGCATAACACGGCCGGGAAAGGCTGGAGCGTGTTTGCCTGTCAGATGGCAAGTACAGGCTGCCTCAGCATCACCGGTGCCAGGGTCCTGAGGTGCCTTGCGTGTCACTGCAGATTGACTTCACTTAAACGGGGGGGCGGGATGCTCAGCTCTGCGGATTTAGCAGACGGGCAGGTGCCCCGGGAAGAATAAGGCCTTTTACAGCGTTAAGCAAGAGAAACCCCACAAGGGGGA